CTCAAACTGTCGGGACTTCCGACTGTTTCTGACATTTGACTTTGAGATTACACAGAAATTTTTAGATACGCCTATTCACCCCCTCTATGCATTGTTTAGATCCTTTCAAAAAGAGAGATTATAAGTGCAATCAAGCCCTAATGTTAGTTTTCATGCTAATAGCCACATAATTAGAGGAGTAGTGAGATTTATCGAATTGACAAGAATGTGAGAAAACAATGAGGATACTAAGTGAGGTGGTGGAGCCCCAATTATAAAGGGTTGCAGTGATGGGCTCAATGGAGATTTAAATATATTTTATGTATAGGAACCATTGTACCATCAAGGGGGATACAATACATATGTAACCAAGTGCTCAACTCTGACCCACCATACACAAATCCTCATCCATAGCAAAGCCAGCCAAAGCTTAGATCCTATCTTCTGTTGCTGGCTTGCGCGAAAGTGCCACATAATTATGCAGCACCGCTGACACCGCGTCTTATGCGGCACTGTCGTGACTTAATGGCTAGCAAGGAGGCAGGGGGTATTTATACCCTTTCTTCCTCCTCCCAACGGTCATCCAGTGCATTCACTCTCAACCAAACTTTAGACAAGCTCTTCTCAAACAATTGTAGCCCCCAACCTCTCCTCCAGATTACCTAGTGATTCCTTGAGAGATTGGCCTCCAAAATTCACAAGAGAGCTTGCTAAACCGAGCTTCAACTTCTAGAGCACTTGGTTCGCGTTCAAGTCGGCATGTTACATTTGTTCTCTTGGAGCAAGAGATCCTAGCCAGCTAGATATCACCCGTCGAAGCACTACAACCTCTTGTGGGTGCTCTGGGAAGTTTGTAAACTCTTCCAACATTTAGTAAGAACGCTCAATCAAGAGACTTGCTCTCTTGACTGGAGAAGAGGATAGGTTCGGTGAAACCCAAGCCTTGGTGGCTTCCTCGACAATGTGGAGTCAACGAGCCTTGGTGACGAGCTGAACCATAGGATAAACCCCTTGTGCTTGTGTTCTTGCTGGTTGACTCTAGGGTTTACTTCTGATCTACTTGTGCTTGAGCTTCCAACATTGGAGAAGTGGTGAAATAGGCTCTATACTCCCTCTGAAACACTAGTAATTTACTCGATGTACTTTCCATTCAGCAGATATGAATTATGTTCTCAAGGTGCTCTGATACACGGTAGTAATGCGGTTGTACCTTGTTTCGCACGCAAGTGCGGTATTGCCGCTCCTATTACTAACCGCTGTTTTGAGTTAAATTTTAAACAGGTCTATTCACCCCCTCTCTAAGCTTGCCTGATCCTTCTTTAGTATTATCTAGTTTTATAATTCAAATTGAAAAGTAGACTACGTCCTAAGTTGGAGGTCGAAAAATATACTTTACCCAATTTATGAGCCAACACAAAGAACTACTACACTGTGCGATATAATTTTTAGAGAGAGTTTTTCCTTACATGACAACTACAAAAGTTATCCTCTGTTAAGGGTTAGGATTGCTCCAATGATTGGAAATGATACCATATTTCATGTCTCAGAAATGTTATTCCTGTACCAAGAACGCGAGAACAATCTCATTTCCGCGATAAAAACCTTTGTCAAAAGGTGTACCACATCTCTTAATTCCTCCCAAAGGACTCAATTGCTCAGATATATAGTGTTTGATTTGGATAATCAACATATTCTAAATAAGATGATGTATCATAAGCTAATTTGTAAAATTTAGTAAAATATTTTCAATGCTCATATTAGTAATAATTATTGTGAAATTTTACCGTGCTGAGAAAAAAGTAGAGCCGTCCGTTTGGATAGATTGGATGGCTATAAAATATGAAGAACCAATATGGAGGAACTTAAGTTGTGGGCCGCAACCTAAAATACGTGGGTCAGGAACGTAAAATATATGGGTTAAGAATTATTTCAAAAATAAATTTAGAGATAAAATAGTACTCACTCTATCCCAAATTGTAAGTCATTCCAAGAATCTTGGAGAGTCAAACATTTTCAAGTTTGACTAAAATTATAGAGAGAAACACAAAGATTGATGACATCAAATAGATATAATATGAAAATATAACTAATGAAGAATCTAATGATACTTACTTGGTATGATAAATATTATTATTTTATTATATAAATTTGGTCAAACTTGAAAAACTTTGACTCTCCAAGATTTTTAGAATGACTTACAATTTGGGATGGAGGGAGTACTTTCACTGCCCCTTAACTCCCTGTTCGATTACTCTGATCGATGTCTCGCCGCCGACGACCACTTCTTCGATCGATGCGTCGGCCAACAGAACGACCCCCTCGTGATCCAATTCCTCCGGCTGCACCTCCCCGACGTCCCCGGCCCATGCGCCCTGTTGGCATCCACGCACATGACGCCTACGCCCGTCCATCTGCAATGCGGCGACGCCTTGGCGCCATCCGTCCAACAAAGCCTGCCTTGCTGCTTGCCCGCTGGTCGCCGCCGGCAGCGGCGGCGTCAACTCAGGTGTACGAGATGGAAACACACTTCGACTAGCAGAACCTGCCTCCATTAGAATCCTCTGCCACTTTCCTAGAAAGCACTTTTGAGAGCTGAATCGATTAGCTTCTAGGCACAGGCCGGCGATAATGATTCGAAGGACGACGGCGAGCCCATGCAGACCGGCGACCGAGAAGGCGGACCGAGAAGGACGACCTGCGGAGGGAATGATCATAACAATTACTAAAGTAACCTTATTTATAATAGATTACAATAATTCTTTTCTTTTAAAGATCAATGGTTCAGAATAATACGATGAGGAGGAACCGGTGGTTCCATCCCAGCACCGTAACAAACCGCATAATTATTAGTTTATAAGAGATGGTAACAATTAATATATTTTATTTCACAAACCAAATAAATAATTAAGAAATAAGATATCGATGAACTATCTCTTCCACGAGGCTGTTTTGATCGAAGCCTGCCAGGCAGGTCTTTGTCCAGGCAACGATCTACCCAAATCGAACGCCTGGGGAGCCCAGTGACTGTTAGATTGCGTGCTCTGACTCTGACTCCGACTCCGACTCCGACTCCGACTCCCGTCCATATCCAAACAGTAAAAAGACCGTTATGTCCATAACCTAACCTTCATTTCGGTGGTTCAGACAACCCCCGCACGAAATCAACGGTACAGATGTCTCCGACGCACAGGGACAGTGCGGCCGTCGGAGGACTCCTCCAGCCAAGCGTTCCGCTTCCGTCCTCGACTGTCTCCAACCAGAAATCATGGGCATTTAAACTCAAAATAGATAGTAAGAGACTCAAAATCAAAATCAGTCACTAACAAAGTATTTATAAGGAAGATCTATTTTGGGTTATCTAAAAGGCACAACTCAAATATGAGTATCCTCTTTTCTGAAAACCCATTTGCAGAAATAATTTTCTTTTAGTCTTGTTATTAGAGAAGATGCCAAATATGTATTAAACCTTTTGCATGTAGCGCTACTAAAGAATAAATGGGTCTTGTATTTTGGTGTTGTTGTTGGAGATAGCCTAAACCACACCTGATTTTGCCCACAGTTTGTGGGAGAAAAGAAACCTACTGCTCGACCCGGTTCATCTCTGACTACATTCAGAATCAATTAAGAGGCTTTTATATGTGTGCCATTAAAAAAGTTTGTAATTACACATAGGTCATTAAAAAAGTTGACCACACACAGATGACACCGTTCTGAATTTCTTTGTTCTCCAAGCCATTCCATCTACATTCCGTTCGTTTTTCACTGTTTGGAAGTCCTGATAAGTGGGTCAGGTCAGTCAAAACGTCCATAATACCCCTCTCATCCCTATCATCTCTCTCTCACAAACTCGATCTCTCTTCTCTTGCGTGCGCCCGGGGCTTCGCTCGCCCGCTCATGGTGGTCGTCGGCAGGCCGGGCTGCTCGCCTCTGTGCGCCACCATGATGGTCGGTCGAGGCCGAGCTACGCCCGCGCCATGGCCCAAAGCACCTCCTCGTGTCACCTCCACGCTACCGTGTCGATCCACGGCGAGGGACCGCCCGCGGCGGCTCCACGCGTCGCCTCCTAGCTCTCATTGCCGCCACCGTTGGGGGCGAGGCGCCTCCCCTACGATGGGCCCCTCGTCGTCATTTGCCGGGCTTGTGTGTGGTGTCTTGTGCGGGGAGCTCACCGCCGTCGGCTACCGCTGGAAAGACGCTCCCGAGAGGGGCACAAACCGGAGGTTCTTGAGCTACTCGTGTCGCTGCTGCAGCTCCCCGACATCTCCTTCTTCTTGGCCACGTCGGCGGGGAGGCGCGCCTACACCTCGCCCGAAGCCTTGAGCCCAGCTGCAAACCAATGGGCACACGCCATACAACAACCATGAAGCACGACGAGCTCCACCACCGCTGAAGGGGAAGCAAAGCAGACACACAGGGAGGAGACGATTACCACGCCGCCAACCGCCATGTGCGCTTTACGAGAGCAGAGCACGGGGAGCGCGGGACAGAGGCGCAAGAGAAAGAGAGAGAGAGAAAGAGAAAGTTTGAGTGGCCGACAAACGGAGCTCATCTAGGGTAAAATGGCTATTTTATCTGTCTGTTTGACACCGTTAAATAGAAAAGCGGACAGAATGGCTTGAAGAGTAAAGAAGTTCAGAACGGTGGCATCTATATGCGGTCAATTTTTTTAATGACCTGTGTGTAATTATAATTTTTTTTAATGACACACGTGTAAAAGCCTCGTCAATCAACAGTTCCACACTATCTCTTCCAGAATTTCGTTGATAACACCTCGCTGGTTTTTTATCGCACCTAAATTTCTATCTATCTGTTGTCTGGCGTTCTGATGCTTTGGTTGTAGCCCAAATCTTGTTCTCTTTGCGGTTCTTTTGAGTTTGATCCCGCCTTTATCCTCTCAAATCCACTAAACCTCCTCTAAAAGATTGAATTTTTCCGCCTCCAAAGCCCAGATATTTTTTTCCTTGGGTTTGTGCCGTCGGCGGGGGCGCGAAATCCCTCAAGCTGGCGACCCCGGCGCGGCCATGGACCTCCCCGAGAGCTCTGTCCCCCGCGCAGACGAGGGCCCGGCCCCTCACCGTCTTGGCCCCGTCGACCGCGAGGAGCTGGTGCGCGCCATGACACAGTCGCTCTACTCGCTCGGGTACCGGCGGGCGGCGGCCGCGCTCGAGGTGGAGTCCGGCGTGCCACTGTACCCGCCGGAGCACGACCGGCTGCTGCTCGAAGTGATGGCCGGTCGGTGGGACGCGTCCGCGGAGGCCGTCCGCTCGGTCGCCGGCGTCGGTGACGCGGACCGCGCGGTTGCGGAGTTCCTAGTGTGGAGGGGCTACTACCTGGAGCTCCTGGGGATGCGCGGTGACGCCGGCCTGCGCCGGGCGAGGGAGGTGCTACGGCGCCGGATTGCGCCGCTCGGCGTCGACAGGAGGTGTGTACACTGGCTGGCGCGCGCCATGGTCTCCAGTGAGGGGGCGGTTGCGCCGGAGGCCGTGGTTGGGTGGAGGATTGCGGTGTTCTTGGATTTGGTTGAGGTGTTGCCATCATGGTTCCATGTGCCTAGTGGACGGTTGGAGCATTTGGTGGAGAGTGTGATTACCAAGCAGGTAGAATCTTGTATATATCACAATTTGCCGGATGAGATCACTCTGTTTGAAGATCATAGGTGCCATGAAGAGCAGATCCCCTCCCAGTGTGCACAGGTGCGAGTTAAACAGATCGTTGACTTGTTTCCCAGTTTCGACAGATGTCCAAGCTTATCATGTCTATAAGAATGTGAAAAGAAATTGCCGAACTCACATACTAGAGTCATCAATTTACAATTGGGAAATATTTCAAGAACAACCCATTTCTACGTATAGCAGCACTCCTTAAAAGTTTTAGATATTTGGTGTTATTCCAAGTAGGTTTAACGGGCAATTCAGTATGGCTATTCATTTTAGCAATTTAAATTTCTTCTGTACCATCTTTGCAATGTATGCAGATCTCTATATTTGATTTTCGAAGCATAAAAGTGCAATGCAGTTGGGAAATGCTTCTCAAAGTACCGCAACAATATTAAATTTCTCCTGTACCGTATTTGCAATGTATGCAAATTCATCCCTCTCTATTTGATTTTGGAAGCATAAAAGTGCAATGCAGCTGGGAAATACTTCTCAAAGTGCCCCTCATTATTTTTCATCCAGTAAAGCAGGGTTTGGATAATTTCAGAATCAAGAAAAAAAAGAAAAGCACAGTTCAAACCTTTATTTCTAAATTTATATTCAAGCAGTGCTCATTGTTATTTAAACCTATGCTTCATCTTCCTGTATGAACTGCCCATGCCCACCCTACTTAATTCACAGGAACCTTATTGTCGGTAGAGAAAAGAAAGATAATGCACAGGAGGAACTGTGTATCTTTGATTTTGACGAGTGTGTGTATAGTTGCATACCCATGAAGTCAGCCACTAGAAAATGTCATAAGAGGCCATCCATAGATTGCAGCCATTGCTGAATGCTAAATGAAATTGGTCTAAATCTAACACACTTCTGAAGCAGCATCGAAAAGTATCAATTCATTCAAAGTATTTTTGCTGCACCTACATTACCACTGTAAAAACTATCACAAAAACAAACTTTTCATCACCCATTTCCAAGAACTACATACTTGTTCATATAACATGAAATGGACCTGAAACGATAGACTTGTCTGAGTTACTGGATCCAAATGAAGTTGACATTTTAGATTTGATTGCCTTGTGGGGTGGATATATTTCCCTGTTCCTCAAGGCACACATAAAAACATGAGGAATAAACACATGGATCATGACAATAAACATGATGGTGCTCTTACAGAAGTGCAGTTTTGTAAAATTATGCACAATTATACATAACTCTTTGAAACATGCACTTAAAGATGTGGTTGTTATATTTTTTAGAATGACAGTAGTGGTTTGCTATCTGAAAGTTTACTCATGTGTTTTTTGAGAAAAATGGATGACTATTCAGGTAAACTTCTCATGTATTTTTCAGGACTCGACAGCCCTATAAAATTTTCATGCTGGGGGTTTGGGGCTGTATTGCAAAGTTATGTATTTCACATATCCATGCCTGTTTGCAGATATTATGTGGTCATAGTAATGAAGTTTGGTTTGTAAGGTTCTCAAATAATGGAAACTACCTGGCATCATCTTCAAGTGATTGCACCGCCATAATTTGGAAGGTATTATTCAGCACACCCAATCATTGAACTGAAAAGGTTATGCAGTTTGTTGTTTGAGTGCATAAAGTTTGAACTGAAAATGATATCTCAAATTTACCTTGCTATATTGGTGCTCTGGAAGCCAACTTATTACTGATTATGCACACATTGTGAATATATACATTGCAGAAATAACTGCAAACACGCCATATAATCTAATTATGAAAACATTGAACTTTTGAAGCATTAACTAACATTGAACTTTTGAAGCATTACCTGATACTAGCAGTAGATAACTCACTCCAAACTGCCCAATGAGAGCTTTACCTACTGTTACGCAGATGTGCTGTTTCGTTTGACTATTGGTATACCCTAGTGTTCATTTTGTTTTGGATAAGTTACTTAGTTTTCACTGTGTCACACCATACACTATCATAGGAAGCCTACCTCTGGGCTTCTGCTATCACTCTTTTGCTATGACAACAATGAAATTCTGAATGTAAGTTCAGCGCACAGTTGAATCTTTCAGTTTTTTATGCACTGAATAGCTTAAAACTATGACTGCCTTATCATTATTTCGCAATTTATGACTTCCAAGTTTTGGGACATATTAGTAGGCTGGCTGTTCATTTTCAAGAGTAAATCAATTACAACTGTATACTACTGTAAACAGCTGAAAAAACATTTGGCGAATTGTTGGTTTATTGCCTATAAATGTTTTTATCTTTGATTTGATAGGTGTGATGAGCGTAGATTGGTTGGGGGTAGATTGCATTGATTGTAGTGTAGGTAAGTGGGTGAGGGATGCGAACATGGCGGTGGCGCAGGGCCAGAGCTAGGCCAGCCCTGGCCCTCCTATGGGCCCACCACTGTGAGGTCTGATTTGACCCATGACAATAGGTTTCATTTCTATTAGTTCATCAGTTGAATGCAATTTGTGGGTGTCGTTGTAGTGTTCAGTAATAGTGACCCTTTACTGACTAAATTTACCAATAGCTGAAGAAAAATTGACCCTTTACTAAAAATCTACCAATTGTTGAAAAAAAATTCATTTGAACAGCTTTGATATTTTCAGGCCAAAAATATAGACTGCTGAGTTTCAGGTCAGAAAATAAGTAGGAAAATGATTCACCTCTCTATAATAATATGGGTTTGGCTCCTGGCAAGCACCTAACCACCAATACTTTTGGCCATGCAATGCAATATAAGTTGGGAAATTGTGCAAATAGACTGGTGTTTGATGTTTCAAAAGTTGAATGATATGCAGTAAGCATCAGCACATTTGCTAGTATTAGTGGCTTATTTTCTGAACTAAAGTATTAATGAACTTCACATAGTAGCTATTTTCCTAATTTGGGATAACTCTCATAGAGGAAGGCTGGAGAAGGGATGCAAAGTTCTTTTAAAATAAGTGAAGTGCTTTTTCTGTAATGCTCTCTACATAGGGAAAAGTATAGAGGTGAAATGGAATGGATAAAACATATTTCTTCTTATTGTTTCCTCTGTAACATTCTTAATGTTCATCATCCATATTATTTTGTAGTTTTGTAGAATTGTTATGTTTGACTATTTTCAGCCTATCTGATTTAATCCGATTGCTTTACTTCACTATATTTCGATCACGATGTTATTTCCACTTCGATAACCTTACTGAAAACACTTTTTTATATACGTATTCACATTAATTCACTAGACATAGCCTTGTACTTCCTCTTATAAAAACTATAAGTCCATATAGGTTTGCCTTAAGTCAAACTTTTAAACTTTGACCATCAGTATCTAAATTTTAATACGGATTGGCAATACAAGATTAGCGTTACTAGATTCATTAATGAAAGAAATACTTTTATGATATATAACTCTTTTCGTTTAAGGTAATATATATTTATTGATATTAGCAGTCAAATTTAAAAAGGCTTGACTTAGGATAAATTTAGATGGACTTACATTTGTGATCAGAAGTACATACACTATGCATATTTATATTTCAGACATATTTACCTCTGTTAAGAATATAAATAGTGGTTTTTAACACGTGCATGACTATTTTTCTAACTTTGGTCATTATTATGTACAAACTATCAGAATTGAATATGTGAAAATCATGGTCACATTTTTCACGAAATGTATTTTTCTAAATATAATATTTTTAGTTTCTTTCTTATACAATTCTACGTGATGATCAAAGTAAAATAATGGAGACCATGTCAATGTCAAAAACAATAAATTCGAGTAGAACTCTTTGTTTCATACTTGGACTGCATTATTACATTATTAAGGGCCATGTTCCCATAATTCATATTAATGCTATCATATTACAATGTACCTCTCTCTGGACTTCAGAGTATTTAACTATCACCCTCACCAGTTTTGATGCAATGATAAACAGATGGAACTAATTTGAACTGAGTAATGATACAAAACATGAACGTGGGAAGAAAGATTATGTGTCTCATGTCATATGAGATCTTGGTCTGATTCTGGATTGCTCATATGCTTCATTGCCAACTTTTTCTTTTTTCATTCATGATATCTGGGAATAATATAATTGAAGGAATCTTAAATTTCAATGTTTAATTGTACAGTCAAGTTGATGCCAAAACTAATAAAGTTGATCAATCATGATCATAAATGATCCTATTTTTTATTAGTCTCATGATAAACACTACTTAATTTGTACAAGGGACACATGTGCTAGAAGCCTAGTGATCAGCACTGCTAGTGATAATGCTAAAGCTCCCTCTGTTGTTAGATTATTGCTGACCTCATATTCATCTAAGCTAGAGGAAAATGGAGACGCAGGCATGTAAATTGAAATATTTTTTTATTAGGTGAACACATGGTCATGTTAACAGTGCAATGGTAGAGCACCCAGATTAAAGTGTTTACACTGAAGGCAGTTTCAGCATGCTTCGTGGCTGTTACTGGCCACACCAGTTTGGTGGGCCCCTCCTTAAGAGTTATGTCAGGGGAATGTCTCTCCCTCTGATCAAGTTTTTTTTATTGCTTGAAAACACTACGGGTATGAAGCTTATGAGAGCACACCCATTTGCATTTTAGATGAATTTACAGATAAATATCCATTCTCCAAGCACATGTTTCATCTACAGCAGTTTTTGCTTATTTGATCTATTTATAAACTTTTGTTTAGCATTGATGATAATTTCTTTTCCATTTATTACAACTTCTGGTGGTTGTCTTGTCTGAGCCTAGTACATGTTCTTAGGTGGAAAAGGATGATACATTGACCAAGAAGCACTGCCTCCAGGGTCACCAAAAACCAATTTCCTTTGTTGCCTGGAGCCCAAATGACAGAATGCTGCTCACTTGTGGTACTGGTGAATCTTTAAAACTGTGGAATGTTGATACTGGTGAATGTAACCTTAAATTCAGAGGCTCAGTAGACTACATCATCAGTTCATGTGCATGGTTTCCTAATTCAGAGAAAATAGTATGTGCCAGCTCCGAGCCTGCAAGTTCTCCAAATAGGATCTTCACTTGTGATCTAGAAGGTCAAGAGCTGGAAGTATGGGCCGGAGATAGAATACCAAAAGTCAGTGATCTTGCTGTGACACCTGATGGCCGACACCTAATCTTTGTATCTTGCAACGATATCTGGATTAGAGAACTTCCAAAGGGGCGGGAATGGAGATTTCGTGAGAAGCAGACGATTTCATCTGTTTTTCTCTCAGGTGATGGACAATCACTCGTTGTGAACCTTAGCAGTCAGGAGATTCATTTGTGGAAAATTAATGAAAGTTGTACTGGGCCTGAAAAGTTCAAGGGGCACAAGCAAGACAAGTTTGTGATTAGGTCTTGCTTTGGTGGTTCAAACTCTTTGTTCATTGCTAGTGGCAGTGAGGATTCACAGGTATAATTTTTTTGCTGGACTTCAATCTTGATTTTGAAGAAAATATTAGCCAGTTCTGGCTTCTGTCCTAATTTATTGCTTAAATTCCATGGTCAGCAATGCATATGGAATATAACACCTCCTCACATATGTGATATTTGTGTTAAAAATGGTGGATTAAAGCAGCACCATGCGTCGGGGTTTAATGTGCATGATGCTAGCAATGGTAGGTAGGTTAACTAATGATGCCTATAACATCTTTGATATAACAAAAATCCATGATATGAAATTCCATGCATATATATGAATAACATCTAAAGTTCCACTAGTCTACTCACAAGGCTTTGAACTTTGGGTTTGGACTTGCTAAATGCTAATTCAGCATTGTGGTTGGTAACTAGTAACTTTTTGTGTGTGCGCTTGCTTGTTTTTGTAAAGCTATGTTTTACATTAGTTGTCATGTGTCACTGTACAAGGGTAGCCTAGTGGAAAGAAATGGAACAACTTTTTTTATAGATAAGTATATTTTAGGTATAATATATACACAAAATCAAGCTAAGAACACTGAATACGAAATAAATTGATTGATTGGTAGTAAACTATTAATTTAATTATAGGAAGATAGGATAACCTATGGATTGTTGCTCTTGTTTACCATTTACTAACCTTTAAAAACAATGAGCAGATCTACATTTGGAAAAGGCACGTGGAGATGCCAATAAAGGTTTTGCATGGCCACACGATGATTGTGAACTGTGTAAGCTGGAATCCTGCAAGGCCCCATATGCTGGCTTCTGCTAGTGATGACCGCACGGTTCGAATATGGGTAGCGTGCAAAATGCAAAGTAAATGTTGTTGAAGTGTGAAATTTTGTATGTTTGTGTAAATGGTTGTACATCTGGACTGCATCCGCAAATCCGTTTGGGATCATGTTCTGATGTTCTCCCCTAAATAGGTCGTAGCTACTTCAGAAATAAACCTCCAACAGCCAGAGGTAGCCGGTGCTGTGTTCCAGATGTATGCCTGGCTAACCGGTGAGTTTTGACATGTGTACAGGACAAAGATGCATCAGAACTTTGTACATTTTGTTAGTTGATATATGCCTTTGACACTCGTTGAAAGTGCTGAAATATGCCTTCTGTTGCTGTGGATCTAGTGTTCGTGCGCTTATCTTTTTCGCTGGGTAACCTGGGTTCATGTGTTATCATGCTTTTTGTTTAGAAATGCCCCAGAACTTCTTTCTGAAGTCCTTTTCAGGTGACTTTCTGAAGGCTTTTGCATGAGAGATGGAAGTCAGTGGCAAAGGTATGTATGCTCCCAAAAGAACAGAGAAACTTGGAAGCAACCTGCACGAATCCACTCTCCACTGCAACCTTTAGCATGGTCATCAAATATGTATGAGATTTGTAACAGTAATATAACTGTTGATGCTGATTAAGGCCACACGCTAATAACGGTTGACATCTCCGAGGCCGCACACGACCTAACAGCAGCGGAGAGGGGTCCAAACAGCAAGACCGACTAGCAAGTCTGCCATCGATGCAGACACACGTTCTTCGCTCAAAAAACCAGCAAACACATCCTAGGAAGATCTGTCAGGGAGGAGCAGGTTATCCTAGGGTATGCAAGATCATCGAGAATTCCAACGAGTTTGATTGAGAGAGGTGCTAGGCGTTGAACAACAGAGTTAGAAGAGATAAAAGTGAGGAAAAGTAGTAGTATAATTATTTTTGATCGACTGTGTGTGTTTAACTTCAATTGGTTAGAGGACGGTTTTATCCCAGAAGAAACCTTCCCAAATCGTGATCGGGTTTGGATTGATTTGAACCCGGACAGACAAACTGGCCTAGACAAACTAACCAGCGTCGGATGAGCAGCCGTAGTCGTACGCGCATAACGTCATCCATCTATTCAGAGTTCGGTGCAGATTCTAGAAGTTATATATTTATTTTAAAAAGGAAACTACATTAACGATGAACCAATTCAGGACCAATGAACTAGTCAAACAAGAGCAGGATTGGAAAATTTTGCAGCTGACCAATTACTTATTCTAACCCAACCTGCAGCAATACGTGACTTGACAGGTTCTACGCGGTGCCTACGTGGACGCGGCACCAACACGGAGAACACATCGCCCGATCACTGTCGACTGCGTCGCTGTCAGCTTGGTAACAAGTACTGTAACAACGTACACGCAAAAGTCGCACAATTTCTTCATCTTTTTTTTTATAAGCAGCAGCAGCAGCATTACGGCAATGGAGAGCAGCCCGTGGTCCAACTGCCATGGCGACATGCGCCGCACCCGCACCCGCAGCAGCGGCGGCGGCAGCGGCAGCGGCAGCGGCAGCGGGCACGCGGTCTTCCCGCCGCAGTGCTCCCATCAGGACCAGTCCCATTCCCGCCGCAGTGCTTCCACGAACCCGTCGCCGCCATCGCCCGTGCCGTCGTCCCAGCCGTTCTTCCGGCCCATGGAGCCGCGCGTGTTCGACGACGACGACCCCGTGGACCGGACGCCACGGCCGCTCCGTGATGATCAGCAGTACCGCGGTGCAAACGCGGACGGAGGAGCGGTTGCGCTCACCACGCACTGCGAGTGCTCGGCTCTCGCGAGGGACGCGTCGGCCGACGACTTCGCAGTGCTCGTGCACGCCAGGGCACCGGGGATGGCCGGGGCTGTAGGCGCGGCGGCGCCAGCGCGCGCGCCGCTGGACCTGGTGACCGTGCTCGACGTGAGCGGTAGCATGGTGGGGACCAAGCTCGGGCTGCTCAAGCAGGCCATGGGGTTCGTCATCGACAACCTCGGGCCCCGGGACCGCGTCTGCGTCGTGTCCTTCTCCTCCGGCGCGAACCGGCTGATGCGGCTCGCGCGCATGTCGGACGCCGGGAAATCCTTGGCGAGGCGCGCCGTGCAGTCACTCGCCGCGGGCGGCGGCACCAACATCGGCGAAGCGCTCCGCAGGGCCGCCAAGGTGATAGACGAGAGAATGCACCGTAACGCCGTCGCCAGCGTCGTTCTCCTCTCGGACGGGCAGGACACGTACACCGTGCCGAGGCGCGGGGGCTACGGCGGCCGCGACGCCAACTACGACGCGCTTGTGCCGCCTTCCTTCGCCTACACCGGCGCTGGCGGCCCGTCCGCACCGGTCCACACCTTCGGCTTCGGGACGGACCACGACGCGGCGGCGATGCACACCATCGCCGAGGCCACGGGCGGGACTTTCTCCTTCATCGAGGACGAAGCGGCCATCCAGGACGCGTTCGCGCAGTGCATCGGCGGGCTCCTCTCGGTCACCGTGCAGGAGCTGCGCCTTGACATCGCGTGCGTGCATCCGGGCGTGCGCCTCCGCGCGGTCAAGTCCGGAAGCTACGGAAGCCGCATCGACGCGGACGGCAGATCCGCGTCCGTCGACGTCGGCGAGCTCTACGCCGACGAGGAGAGGCGGTTCTTGCTCTTCCTGCACGTGCCGAGGGCCCGACCCGCGGACGACGACGACACGCACCTGGTCAGAGTGGCCTGCGTTTATCGTGACACAGCGACTGGACGGGGCAAGAACGTTGCAGGCGAGGAGGACGCGAAGGTGCGGAGGCCCTGGGGCCCGGTGACCTCGGAGCGCTCCGTGGAGGTCGAGCGCGAGCGCGTCCGGGTGGAGGCGACGGGCGGCATCGCGGCGGCCCGTGCGGCGGCGGAGCGCGGCGCGCACGCGGAGGCGGTGGAGATCCTCCGGCACCGGCAGCGGTCCGTGACGCGGTCTGCCGCGGCGCGGGCGGGGGACTCCACGTGCCTGGCGCTATCGCGCGAGCTGCGGGAGATGCGCGCGCGCGTGGCGAGCCGGCAACGGTACGAGCTGTCCGGACGCGCGTATGTGCTCGCCGGGCTGAGCTCGCACGCCCAGCAGCGCGCCACGTCGCGGCAGATGATGTCCGGTGGCGTGGCGGAAGCGACTGCGACGCGGAGCGGCGAGTCGGCGGGGGAGCGCAGTGTGGCGTTGGCTACGGCGGGCCTCACGACGTCGTACATGACGCCGGCGATGCTGGACATGCTGGGCCGATCGCGGAGGTCGCGTGAGCTGCTGCAGCAACGCCAACAACAGACGAAGGAGCGGCGAAGAACGTTTTGACCAAGCAGGCAAGGAGTGTTGTGTAGGCAATCATCCTTCCAAAAAATTGTTCGTGTGATTAGTGTATCTGTGTATGGTCATCTATTCATATTTTGACTAAAAGATAGTACAGTTTAGTTTATTATTCTTGTTCAATCTGTACTTCCCTCCAACCAAATATACAATTAGATTATCTTATCCCATGATTTTATATCTACCCTGATTCCAAAGCTCTATCAATTTGTTTTGGTTCATATCTGGTAATTTTTAGTTGATACATGCTAATATGAAGATGATGAGTATTACGTGCTATGCATTGATGTTTCTTTTAGTCACTACTAAACTTCATTATGTGCTTATTGCTGATTCTGACTTCATTGAAGAGTTTGCATGCTTCTCAATGTTCTTTGCAACCACAAATCATTTCTCGTGCCATTGGTTGATTGAGGTGTGGCTTGTCTATATATTTGTTTTAACGCAGTGGCTTGTCTATATTCCTGCTTGCATTACGCTGTTACCAAGACATCCAGATGATATCTGTTTGTGTTATGCTTAAGCAAGTATTGTGATTCCTGTTCACAGGATATCCTGTCCTTCACTGCAAAATTTATGTGTTTTTGGAGTGTTCCAATGTCGCCGTCCACTCATTGATCTCTGTAATAATGTACTTTGTATTTGTACAAGCAAGGAGTAGCCATTTTCTAACTTTGAGTTCTCTTGATTTCAGAAGATATGTGCAATTTGCCGCAGCGCCATGAGGTCCGGCCGCGGCCAACCTCTGTTCACTGCTGAATGCTCCCACAAGTTCCATTTCAGCTGCATCTCCTCAAATGTGCAGCATGGCAACAAAATCTGCCCAATATGCCGTACTGTATGGAAGGAGCTGCCTTTTCAGGGGCGTCAGCTGGCTGCATCTGCTGCGGTGCTGCCCATGGGTCAGGGAGACTAAACCCATCGATTTGGCCCCATATGAGCATGCTGTCGGTGAATCCGCTGGAGGATGAGCTCCCAGTCTTTGTCATTCCGGAGCCAGCAGTTTTCAATGACGATGAGCAGATATATCTTCAGCCTGAAACAGCAGTTGGTGGTGGGGATTATGAGATTCCTCCTTTGCTTGAGATCACGACATACACTGCATTCCCAGCAATTCAGGAGTCCGTGGGCACAGGAGCAGTATGCCATCTTGATCCTGTTAGGCTTGATCTCCCACCAGTTAGGCCCAATGGCCTTTTGGGCCTTGTTCTCGCGTCCTGATCGGGGGCGTCCAATCCTACATGGTTGGTGGACCCCCGTCACACTGCGCTATAAATAAAGGTGGGGCCGGCAGGCTCTTGATACGAGGTTCACCTGAGCCGCCACTCCCCACCGATATTCTCAATCCCGATCCGAGAGGGGCGCAGCCAGTGACGGGAAGCCGCCACCGTCTCCACTGCGTCACCACTTCACTGCATCGACTCCTCTCACCACCGAACGTCGCTGCCGGCGTGCAGATGACATCCGCGAACAAGACCCCGGCCGGCGCTTCCACCACTCCGACAGCTCCGACCACTACGGCCTTCGATGGTCTGCGACTTCATACTCCACCTATCCCTTTTCTCCCTTTTATGTCTCTGTAGTTCATGTATTAGGATTTGTGTATATGATGTGAATCATGAACATGTATTCCTATTATGATGTATCCCGATCTGATGAATATGAATGAAATGAATCTAACATTGGTACCAGAGCCAGGTTTTATTAAAAAGAAAGATCGAACGATTGAACCAATTTCAGATCGGAAAGAACATGAACAAACCATAACCCTAACCCTAACATGAATGGATGAATGGGGTCCTACCTGGGCCCTCATCCCGTCGGCGGCATCGCCACCGCGCGGGACAAAGACCGAGTCGTCGGCCCTCGCCGACGTGCGGGACTGGAACCCGGACCGACTAACGCGGATGCCAGTCAAGGCACCGACGTAGGGCAACTCGACAACGGCGCGCTCAGCCTTGGGCGAACGCGCGCGCCGGCGAGAAGCTCTGCGGCGGCGCCGCCGTTTCCTCTCCTCCGGCCGCCATGGGTGGCCGCCAGCTGCTGCTGCTTTGTGCGTGGCTAACAGAGAAGGGGAGGGAGGAAGAAGAAGTGGCAGGGTGGCCGGATCTGCTCCGGTGGGTGCCCTTCCTCCTTGCCGGTGGTGGCCGGTC